CACCCTAGACCTCTTGGCCTCCGCCTTATTCTACATGTTGCCCTTTCCTCACTCAAAAAGAGATGCCTTGCATGCAAGAGGAGATGCTCTGCTGCTTCTCACCACCTGTGGTCCGTGGTCCTTATGTCCACATAATGGAGCAGCTCCTGATGGAGAAGCCAACAGCAGGTGCTGGGCCAAGTCCATCCATATCTCTGTTGTTTGGAGTGGCCAACTCAACCACAGCATTTCCACAAAATCGTTTTCTTAACCCAAGACAAAAGAACTTCCCCCCCTCCCCCAACCAACTGAGCTCAGCACCAACTTCTGTCAGTCCATGCCGGACCAAGCCCTTCCCATGCATCTTCTAATCACAGTTCCCTTATCAGGAAGCTTCACTGTTTTACTGAGAAGTGTTGACAGCTCATGGAATTCTGGATGTGCCCTGCTACGGGGCTTCTTCCCTGTGGTCCAGCAGCCACTTTTGTTCTCACCCGGACGTAGACCTGAGAAGCTCTGTCTGGTCTCCATTACCACAGATGGAGTGTGGGATCCCACGTGTGAGATCATGCTCCTGCTCCCGCTTGAAGTGTCTGTATAATTGGCACAATATTCTTGCAGGCAATGTGCACAAAGCTTTGGTAGAACACCAGGTTGTTTTTTTTTAATTTTTCCCCCCTGTTGTTACAAGGTTTTTGACACCTCTTGTCCTTTTGTTGTTTTCTCAGACTCTTATTGTCTTCACTGGCCACAGAAGAAGATTGTTGCTAGTCCCCATGATGGAAGATGGGAGAAAATGGAAGTCTATGGAATTTGATTAGTGTGTCTGTGTGATCTCAATCCTATTTTCTAAGTGACTTAGGGCCCTACTTGCACAGGTATTGGCCAACTGGCGATTGAGATTGACGATTTCAATCCTATGTGTGTGTGCTTATCTATTTTATCTAGGCAGCTATTAAATCAAAGTGTGTATTTATTAATGCACGACTGCACTATGCTGCTGTTAGTAGTTACTTCATAGCAAGAAGTACGTTGTTGTACTTATTTATCTACCCTCTGCTCCACCGATGCAGCTCATGAAGATCGCTAGTTTATGTCTGGCAGTGAGGAAAAGCAGCTGGATCCTTCAAAGACATCTGCAGGGTTGTAGTTATTTGGCTTTTCTCTTTTGAGCTGGTTACAATGGTCCTGCAGGAAGGTGGAGGCACTTCCTCGAGGATTAGCCCACCTAAACCCAGGACACCCAGGTACCAGAATTTTTTCACTCCATTTACTAAATAGGAGGTGGATAGAGATAGATGTAGATTGTGGAGGCTGGCAGGTTCCTGTGTCAGCCCAAAGAGGTGGAGTTTGGGTCTGTTTGTGAGCTGTCTTTATGGCTCGAGAATGTTAATCCTGGGTGATTAACCTGAGTTTGATGGAAGACAACTCAATTTGTGTTCCTTTCACCACCTCAAAGTAGGGCAGTTGAGCAAGTTCCCCAGGTTCCCTTATGGTCAGTAGAGGGAAAGGAGACCATCCAGAATAGCACGGTCATGTCACCAGTCTTTGAGGGTTCTGTAAATGTGAGGAACATCATCACATGCTTCATGAACTGTTCTAGGTGGGAGGAAGAATATGTGGCTGTTCTATGTTTGCTCCAAGAGGTACAGGAGAAGCCCGGGCTGTCAATTTTACATGAACAACTTTTGAGGATGCAATCTAAAATTACCTTGAAAATTCTCAACAACAAGAAGCCAAGTTGACCACATGGCTATCTGAGCAACCCCTGAAGACTTCCACACCCTGGTAGATGCCATGGTAACCCATCTCCATGGTAAGGATGTTGGCTGAACCTCTGATCCTTTTGGTTCGTGCATGTTGCAAGCTGTTTTGCTGCTTCTTTTAAAGGGATGAGAGCAGGAACAACCCAGGTACGTCCCAGAGCAAGGCCAACTCACAGCAGGGGAGAGGAAGGCATCACAGGAAGCTTCCCCTTCATCCTTCAGAACGAACATTATGAACATCTCTTTGGAGATCGCTGCTTCTGGATCCAGCTCAACAGGTTCAGGCGTGGCTCGGTCGGCTGTGCCAAGCCAGAGCCGGTGCCAGCGGACCATCACAACAGCAGCCCACGCGCTGCGGGTTACGGTGGCACGTGGGGGTTGACAGCTGCTTTTCTCCTGTGGGGCTTTGCAGGAGGGCCTTCTTGAGTAGGAGGTCAACGTGGCAGTTCTTTGTGACTCTCTGCCCGGTTTGCTTCCCGCAGCACCTTGATGCGCGCGTTTAGGGCAGCGATTTTGGGCAGGCATATCTCTACCAAGCTGGCTCGTTCGGTCTGTGGGTGTTCCCTCCCCTAGGTCATAACGCTTCCTTCTGGGATCCGTGTGGAGGATCTAAAGTGTTGCCCAGTGCGGCGGGCGTTGGAATGAGCCACTCTCAAATAAAAGAGCAGGGATGAAGATGAGTTGCCCCCAAGGTAGTCAATCACAAACTCAAGGGACAGGTGAACAACTGCAACCCTTGAGAAACTCTTGTTAAGACAAAGAGAAGGGATGTTTTAGCTCAGGCCTCACGAGAAAAATCATGGGTCATATCCACAGAGCCTCACCTCCTCCTGACGAGAAGTCATGTATCGTTCTCCTGATCTTTGCCTGGGCCTGACAATGGCTCCAAGGTCACATAGGAATTTTGGTCTCAGTGTTCTTCTGACATGGCTTGTCCCACATGGAATTTTGCAGTGAGTTCTTAGAATATCTTCCAGTTTGACTGAAATACAGAAGCAAACTACAACTGATGTTGCTTTCTCTGGAGAAGCACCAGCATTTAGAAAATATAGAGTCTAGCTAAAACATAACAGGAAAGATTTTAGTGTAACATCCTAATGCTTTGGCAAACCCTACCCAGATGGGTTGAAATGGCTCTATTTCCAGATTTTTTTTCCCCCACTCACTTTTAAAATCATGGTCCTTACATGTTTTCTGTTGTTCACCATAATTATTCTTTTTAATGGGAGAGAGTTTCCAGTCCAAGTCAGATTTTTTTACGTAGGTATGGAAAAAGAGGAAATTCAGTGGGAAATTTGGTTGAGATGTAGCTAAGTGTAAAGTATAATTACAAAGCAATAGCCTGGATGACCAGTTGGTCATTCCTGGTGTAAGGCTAGAAGAGACCAAGTTTGGGAAGGAAAAGTGGTGCTTCTCACCTGGTTGTCTGGAAAATGTTGTGTCTGCTTCTGGGAAAAGTCCTTCATCTGGTCACTGAGTGTCCAGCATCTTTCTCACCTCAAGGTATTTTGTCTGGCCTTGCAACCAATCCCTACAAACCTTTCATTTAGGGGATTTAGGAGCCACTTTCCAGGGACTGCAAAGCCCTGACCACAGAACCTCTGTGTAACCAACAGCTTTATGGTGTGGCTTTATCCAGCACCTTGAGAAAGAAGACCATCTTGTTGGGGTGAAGCCCAGCTCCTCCAAATGTTTTGAGGGGATGCACTTACCATGTGGGGATTGCTCCACCGGTGCTCTTGGGGACAGGGTATTGGATCTCAGTTGCATTCTAGAGGTGCTAGTGAAGGCTGAAGACTCTCAGAGCCATGGCCAGCAGCAGGACTTGGCTCCTGAGTGCTTTGTGATGAGTCCATGGCCATTGAATCTTCCACCAGGAGGTGCTTGGTGGGAGAATCTGGGTAGAAAAGCTCAGATCCCAGCTCTGTATTCAGTATCTCAGCTACCTGGTGATGGGGCCTTTACAAACCACCACCCACAAACAGGTAATTTCAGTTCATGCTCCCACATGGAAGAGCAGGAGCAGCCAAGAGCTCTAGTGTTTAGAAGTGATGGGTCATCTGTTCCCAAAGGTGATCTCATGTTCATTGTAAATATTTAAATATTTGGTTTAGTTGGTTAAAGTTTATCTCAGAGTGTTATCTTTTCCATTTAAAACTGTGTATCCATTTAAAGCTAAACTGGACACAGCAAAGTTCCAATTTTGTCTGTATTTTAGATTCTATTTCATCTTTATGAACCAAAGGCCATTAATAATAAGTATTAAGCCATTAATAATAAGACCACACTTCCAACACCTCCATTCTCCCCATGGGAATTCCTCGTGAGTGGATGTACTGGAAATGGAAGAAAAGAGAGAATGGGGAAGTAAGGGAGCAGTGGTCTTCGCTTTCTGCAGTGGGAGCTCCTGGTGATGCGGTGAAGCAAGGCGAGCCGCCCCCCCCCGCCCAACATGAAGACAATCGCAAGGCCCTTCCGAAAGGAAACACTGGGAGGGGTGGGGAAATTTAGGAGAGAAGGAACCACGGGGCAGTGCATGCGGGTAACTGTGCGGTCTGTAATTAATGATGGAGCGCAGGCTAGTGAGATAAGGAAATCTCATCTGATCAGATGTCATGAGTCAAACAGGATTTGGGGAATTTCACAATTCCTCCATCAGTGTGTGGTGTTTACTCTGACCTCTCCTCAGGCCGCCATTAATTGCTGCCTGATGAAGCAAACCCAATAACAACACTAACAGACCTGCTAATTACCACGGAATGGAGACGAACTCCTCCAGAACGTATAAAGGAGGACTTCTGTCACCCCCACCAGAGGAGCTGAGGATCCCTCACTCTCGTTTCTCCTCCTGTTTTACAACCTTCCCTACCTGCTCTCTCGCCTTCTCTTGACGCTATGAGCCGACGTTTCTCCAGATTTGGGGGTGGGGCTTTCAGTTCTTCTTCTGCTCACTGTGGCACTCTGGGTGGTGGGAGAAGTTCGTCTACCATAAGCCATTATGAAGACAATAGAGGGGAAGAAAGATACGGTGGTTTTGAGTCTGGTTACGGCAGCAGGAGCCTCTACAACCTCCGTGGGTTTAGGAATGCTTCTGCTGGTGGAGGCTACAGAGGAGAAGGAGCAGGATATGGGAGGTTCCTGGGATTTGGTGGGAGGACACATCTGGATAGGGGCTTTGGTAGAGGAGGTTACTTCATGGGAGCTTTTCAAGCTGGTGAAGCAGGGCTCGGTAGCACTTGTGGAAGAAGTGGAGGCATGGAGGTGCTTGGAAGAGGCCTTGGTAGAGGTGCCTTTGGCAAGCAAGGGGCTGGGCAGGGTTTTGGGCAGGCTGGTGTTAGCAGAGGCATCGAGGAGGTCCATGTCAACACCAGCCTGCTGAGGCCAATACAACTGCAAGTTGACCCCGAGTTCCTGAGTGTGCGGTCGGATGAGAAAGAGCAGATTAAGGCTCTCAATGACAAATTTGCATCATTCATTGATAAGGTGAGTCCCTCTCTCTTTTTTTTTTTTTTAACCTGTTATCTGGGAAGCAGGAAATCTGAGGGATGCTGCTCAGCCCAGCTGGATTAGATGATCTCTAAGGTCCCTTCCAACCTAGGCCATTCTACGACACCCTCACATGGCATCAAATCACAGCGTTGGCTTGATTCTCCTGTGCCGGTGTGAAGTTTTAATAACTTGCTATAAATGCCGCTGCATGAATCACTTGCATTTAGCCCTGGGATAAGTATCTCTGAGTTATCTTTGTGACAGGACAAGAACAAACCACAAGGATGTCATTGACTCCTTGACTCGCTTCTCTCTTGAGGAAAAGGGTTTCTGCATGGCTGGCAATCCTCCAGGGCCTGGGAAATGTTGATGCTTGCAGGAAAAATGGGCGATGGGCTTGGACACCCTTGACATATTCTGACCTTGGCCTGGAGGTCCTGGCTTCTTTCAGGTGGCCAGTGGTCTCCACATCTTTCTTCTTCACCTCTTCCTTGGTTTACACAACAATGCATGCACATCCATCTGTGGTCTTGTCTTCTCTTTCGTTTCTACTCGCAGGCATTCTCCAGCCACAAAAATCCTTCAACCCCTGTAGACTTGACTTATCCCTTTGTTTGGGTGGTGACGTGTCTCTGCGAAGAATGGAAGCTTGTAGCATTTGTTACACTTAAAGAATTAAGGTGTTGGTTACACCCAGGAGTTTTGAGCATGCTTAGTCCTGGACAATAGAAGGGCTTTTAACTCTTTTTTAATAACTTATTTTTAATTTATTTTTTTCTTCATTTTTGTCAGCTTCCAGGTTATAACCTGCTGAGTGTCCCAGCTGAAGAGATGTTATCCCTCTGCTTTCCAAAAATATCATCTTTGTGGATTATAAGTCTTTCTGACCTTCCTAATCATAAAATAGTTTGAGTTGGAAGGGACCTTAAAGATTCCAACCCCTGTGTCATGGGCAGAGACACCTTCCACTAGACCAGATTGCTTAAAGCTCCATCCAACCTGATCTTGAACACTTCTAGGAATAGGGTATCCACAATTTTTCTGGGCTACCTGTTGCAGTGTCTCATCACCTTTGTAGTGAAGAACTTCCACCCTCGTAGTGAAGAGCTGCTTCTCTAAGGCAAGGTGAATCGAGGAAGAGTGAGGTCCTGTGCAGCCTTCTGAGAAGGGGCTAACCCTTCTCTCTTTATTTGGGTGTCTAAAGTACTTCAGAAACAGCTGAGGTGTCCCTCTACCCCAACCATCCCCCTAAATATTGGGCACTTAAGATGAAAAGCCAGCAAAGATTTCAAGATCAATGCTGAGAAGCAGCAGTGAGGTCATACCCTTCTTGTGCAACAGACTGAGAAAAAAGAGATGTGTGTCCCTGTTAGCCTACATGGTCTCGTGTGTTGGTACCAGCATTGCTGGAGTTGGTCCCACCCCCGACAGCACATCTGGGTGTTACTGCCTTGGGAATACCAGTTAGGACGAGTTGTGCTGTAGGGACTGATCCCGACACCAGCGTCCTCCAGCGCTGAGGATCTTTTCTTCTTTCCCTTCCAGGTTCAGTGTCTCGAGCGGCAGAACCAGGCTCTGATGGCCAAATGGGAACTTCTGCAACAGCAAAGTGCCCGGCCGGAGGAGGGCAGAAACATTGCTTCTTTCTTCCAATCCTACATCAGCAACTTGCAGAGGCAGCTGGAAACTCTCCAGGACCAGAAGGAGCAGCTGGATCCGGAAGCATACAATATGCTTCAGCTTGTGGAAGATTATAAAAAGAGGTGAAAAATCACAGGTCTAGGGGGGGAAAAGTGCACTGGGACTTTTCCAAGGCAATGCTAATCATGGCAGGGGGTGGCAGAGCTTAGCTTTGCACCTCCAAGAGTTTTTCTGCAGCCGTTGTAGCTCTGCTCTGCAGTAGGTTGTTGTGGGTTTTGGCTTTGATGCTGAAAGACTAAAGCAGATCTGGCGAGGGCAGAACCCAGAAGAGTAGGAGGAAAATGGAAGGGCCTGTAGATCTATGCCCCTCTTCTCTCCTCCTATCCTCCTTCATGCTCTTCCTCCCCCAAGCCATGAGTATGTGAGGACTCCTTACTCCTCCTGGTAGCTGTGGAATGACGGTCAGCCTGGACAGTGGGGAGGGTCAGAGCTGAGCAGTGGGGACAAGCTTGAGGAGAGTTGCCTCTTCTTCCTGACCTGGCTGCACCCGAAAGATAATATTTGTTCATAGCACTGAAAAATGGAGAGTTTAGGCCAGAGTTATGGGGTGTTAAGAATGATCTAATTTCTAATTTACCGTTTGGGTTTGCAATTGCCCTCGCAGCTGCCAGAAATCACAGTTAAAGGAGAAGGTTCCCTTTTGGGGTGGTTCATTTTGGGTTCTGATTGATGAAGTAAGATGTTTTCTCTCTCTGCTGCAACAGGTTTGAGGAGGAGATCAACAACCGGGCTTCGAAAGAAGAGGAGTTTGTGGAGCTTAAAAAGGTGAAGTAACCTGAGACGCCGAGCTGAGTCAAAACCTCCGAAATAAAGCAGTAACCAGATGGTTGTTGAGGTTTTCAAAAGCAAGGTCATTGCTTGACTTTGTCGAACTCTCCTCTAAGTGAAGCCATTGAAAACTTGAGCTTTTTGCTGCTAAATTGAAGACGAATAATTTCCTCTAGAGACTGAATCGGTCCCATGTAAGATGAGTATCCAAAAGTGCCGGTCTTTCACTATTCACTCAATCACAACCTTGGCAAGACGTCGTTATTAGGGGGTAAATAATGCCTATTGATGGCTTAGGTAGGAGCATAGAAAAATTAGTCAACTTTTTATTAGAAGAATTAGTGAAATCTATGTTTCTGTATTTTGCATTTTCTCCAGGATCACATTTTTTGCCACAGCTGTTTTTCTTGTTTCCAATCTATGCTTTCCTTCTAAGAGTTATAAACTTTCCCTTTGTTCCAATGGCTTTTCAAATGAAACCTGAGATTCGTGGGTCATTATTTGACTCCAGGAATAAAAGCTTTTAAAAAATGAACCAAGCCTTGCAAGAATTGCACCTCAGTGGAAAATTAGGATCAAAGAAAAACAACTATGATGCTTTTTATTTTTTTTTTTTTATTAACAGGAACTAGACAGTGCCTACATGGGAAAAACTGAGTTTGATATTCGGGTGGAAATACTGAAGCAGCAGCTTGAGTTCCTCAGATGCTTGCATGAAGCTGTGAGTATGTTTCTCTGATTAAAAGCTTACCTTCAGGTCTTAGAGGTTATCTGTCTTTTGGAAGTTCCCAAAAATTTTTACAAGAACTGGACATTTTGGTCTTGGAGAGTAGCTCGTCCTTGGCCTTTGAACCTATAAAGATCTTTTTAACACATGAGTGAAAAGGGTGTCACAAAGGCTGGAGGAGACAAGTGAAAATGAAAGTTGGTGGTGGAATGCCAGGACCTGGGGATGCAGGTCGGGAAGTTCCAGTGAGTAACTGGACAGAGAGTCCCATTTCTTTCCTCATAACATGACCTGGACTGCTCACGTGGACTGTTAAAACCTAAAATCTCATTTTCTTTACAGGAATTGTCCCAGCTGCAGGCAGTAGTTGGCAACACCAATGTCGTTCTGTCCATGGACAACCGTAGAGAACTGAACACTGACGGCATCATCGAAGAAGTCAGGCAGGAGTATGAGACAATAGCTCAGAGAAGCAAAGCTGAAGTAGATGCCATGTATCAGGGGAGGGTGAGTAGACATCGATGAGATGGGGAGGCAAGTCTGCTCAGTGGAAAGGAAACCCAAAATGTCTGTTCTCTTCTCTGTGCAGTACCAGGACCTTCAGAACATGTGGGTAAATCAACGTGAGCAACTGAGGAGCAGTTACAAGGAGATCCAGGAACTTACCAGGCTTATCCAGAGATTGCAACCAGAAATTGAAATTGCAAGGAAAAAGGTAAAGCTGGTACACTCCAACGTGACTGAACTAAGTCACTTTTACATGGGGGCTCAGTGCAGTATAATGTTGCCTGTCCTCTGGAGGTGCCCCTAGAGATGATGTTTTCTTCTTGAAACAAAGCAAATTTAGATTTTTGACTGACTACATTGGGATTTAACTGGGGTTAATTTACCCAGCCTATCATATCTTGTGGGGTTCTGTCATTGAGGCAGGTCTTTTGATTGCCAGGAGGGTTTGAAAGCCCTGGTCCTGTAGAAAGGAGATGAACAAGTTCTGTTTGTGGCCTCTGCAGAATGCCAGCCTCCATGAAACCATTCAAGATGCTGAGCAGCGTGGGAGCTCTGCTGTCAAAGACGGCCAGAAGAAGCTTCAGGAGTTGGAAAATGCCCTGCAGCAGGCCAAAGATGATCTCGCTCACCTTCTTCATGATTACCAGGAGCTCCTGAATGTGAAGTTGGCCCTGGATATTGAAATTGCCATGTACAGGTCGCTACTCGAGGAGGAGGAGACCAGGTGGGTACAAGCTGCTCGTCCTGGAGAGAGTCACAGAATGGTTTGGGTTGGAAGGGACCTAAAAGACCATCTTGTTACAACCCTCCTGCCATGAATGCAGGGGGGTTGGACACCTCCCACCAGACCAGGTTGCTCAAGGCTTCGTCCAACCTGGCCTTGGACACTTCCAGGGAGGAGGAAGTTCCACAGCTTCTCTGGGCAGCCTGTGCCAGAGCCTCGCCACCGTCATAGTTAAGAACATTTTCCTTAGATCTGATTGAAATCTACCCTCTTTCAGTTTAAAACCATTACTCCTTGTCCTACCACCACATACCCTTGTAAAAAGTCCCTCCTTATCATTCCTGTAGCCCCCCTGAAGTACTGGAAGTCTGCTGTAAGTTCTCCCTGGAGCCTTCTCTTCTCCAGGCTGAACAGCCCCAAATCCCTCAGCCTGTCTTTGTTGCAGAGGTGTTCCAGCCACCTGAGCATCTCTGGGGCCTCCTCTGGACCTGCTCCAACAGCTCCACGTCCTTCTGGTGTTAGAAGCTCCAGAGCTGGATGCAGTGAGCCATGTGTCCTGTTCTTCCAGTTATTGCCTGGACCTCTGGGATGAATTGCTGCCTAGGAGTGACTTCTTTCACTGGTTCACTGAGAGAGCCTAGTGTGACTTTTGCTTTTGTTGGATGCATTATCTCAATGTGGCTTTTCTTCCACAGGATACAGGAAGGCTCACCAGCCACCATCTGTAAGTATCTCAAGGCTTGGCTTTGTTTTTTGAAGAGCACTGTTACTGTTTTGTTGTCTGTGGTCCTTAACACCCACCATCAGAACAACCGATCTTGGTTCCTACCTCAGTTTCCTTGGGGAAATGAAAGAAAATCAGAGTCTCTTGAGAGCATGTGAATACGTGTGTGTATGAGTTAAAATGTCATCACAGAGTCACAGAGTGTTAAGGGTTGGAAGGGACCTCAAAAGATCGTCTAGTCCAGCCCCCCTGCCAGAGCAGGATCACCTACAGTATCACTGAGCTATTGATGTTGGAACCTGTTGCTGAAATACAACCAAATTTGTAGGATGTGGGAAGCACCTCACTTCAAAGGGATTATGTGATGCATGTCAGAATAGAAGGGGGAAAAAAAGTCTAGCCCTAAAATTTGGGCAGCCAAAGGAGAGAGAAACTCACACTCCTGGCATTCTTAAAGAAAGGGCTGTGGTGGGTGCTCATGGAAGGAGTAAGAAAGAGGAAAGTCATGTTAAAGATGATAAAGCCAGAACAACAAGAGAAACTATTTTGTGGGTATGTCTACTGATGGAGACCCTTGTTGCCCCTTTTCAAAGATGTGACTATGCCCATTAGACTGGTACAATGATGGCTGTGTATCATTACTTTTATCAGCTGTGCTTATAATATTTTTGGGTAAAAAGGTGGACACAATTTCCATTTATTGCAGGTGTCATTGATCAAAATGCGAGTGCTACTGGAGTCTTTGGAGTTGGATCAGGAGATTGGACAAGTGTGAAGGCGGGGATGAGCTCTGGCAACAACAGCAAGATCAGAAGAAAAGGGTCAATATCTGGAGGAGGAAAAGGAGGAAGCTCTGGAGGATGGGGGTCCAGCTCTGGAGGTGGTGGGTCTATTTGTGGAGGAGGAGGAACCTCTGGAGGTAGCCAGAATTCTGGCAAGGGAGGGATAAGCTCTGGAGGTGGAGGAAAAGGTCATGGAGGAATGAGCTCTGGTGGTGGTGGGTCCATTTGTGGAGGAGGAGGAGGCTCTGGATATGGAGGAGGAGGAAGCTCTGGAGGTAGTCAGAGCTCTGGAAAGGGAGGGATAAGCTCTGGAGGTGGAGGATCAAGCTCTGGTAGTGGTGGGTCTATTTGTGGAGGAGGAGGAGGAAGCTCTGGGTATGGAGGAGGAGGAAGTTCTGGAGGTGGAGGAAAGGGTCATGGAGGATCAAGCTCTGGTAGTGGTGGGTCTATTTGTGGAGGAGGAGGAGGAAGCTCTGGGTATGGAGGAGGAGGAAGTTCTGGAGGTGGAGGAAAGGGTCATGGAGGATCAAGCTCTGGTAGTGGTGGGTCTATTTGTGGAGGAGGAGGAGGAAGCTCTGGGTATGGAGGAGGAGGAAGTTCTGGAGGTGGAGGAAAGGGTCATGGAGGATCAAGCTCTGGTAGTGGTGGGTCTATTTGTGGAGGAGGAGGAGGAAGCTCTGGGTATGGAGGAGGAGGAAGTTCTGGAGGTGGAGGAAAGGGTCATGGAGGATCAAGCTCTGGTAGTGGCAGGTCCATTTGTGGAGGAGGCTCAGGTTATGGAGGAGGAGGAAGCTCTGGAGGTGGCCAGAGCTCTGGAAAGGGAGGGATAAGCTCTGGAGGTGGAGGATCAAGCTCTGGTAGTGGCAGGTCCATTTGTGGAGGAGGCTCAGGTTATGGAGGAGGAGGAAGCTCTGGAGGTGGCCAGAGCTCTGGAAAGGGAGGGATAAGCTCTGGAGGTGGAGGATCAAGCTCTGGTAGTGGCAGGTCCATTTGTGGAGGAGGCTCAGGTTATGGAGGAGGAGGAAGCTCTGGGTATGGAGGAGGAGGAAGTTCTGGAGGTGGAGGAAAGGGTCATGGAGGATCAAGCTCTGGTAGTGGCAGGTCCATTTGTGGAGGAGGCTCAGGTTATGGAGGAGGAGGAAGCTCTGGAGGTGGCCAGAGCTCTGGAAAGGGAGGGATGAGCTCTGGAGGTGGTGGGTCAATTTGTGGAGGAGGAGGAGGCTCTGGGCATGGAGGAGGAGGAAGCTCTGGAGGTGGCCAGAGCTCTGGAAAGGGAGGGATGAGCTCTGGAGGTGGTGGGTCAATTTGTGGAGGAGGAGGAGGCTCTGGGCATGGAGGAGGAGGAAGCTCTGGAGGTGGCCAGAGCTCTGGAAAGGGAGGGATGAGCTCTGGAGGTGGTGGGTCAATTTGTGGAGGAGGAGGAGGCTCTGGGCATGGAGGAGGAGGAAGCTCTGGAGGTGGCCAGAGCTCTGGAAAGGGAGGGATGAGCTCTGGAGGTGGTGGGTCAATTTGTGGAGGAGGAGGAGGCTCTGGGCATGGAGGAGGAGGAAGCTCTGGAGGTGGAGGAAAAGGGCATGCAGGATCAAGCTCTGGTGGTGGTGGGTCTATTTGTGGAGGAGAAGGAAGATCAGCTGGTGGAGGCTTGAGCTCTGGAGGTGGCCAGAGTTCTGGTGGTGGCAGCAGCTCTGGCAGGAGAGGATCTACCTCTGGTGGACGAGGAGGAGGCATCTCAGGTCATGGAGGATCAAGCTCTGGAGCTGCCTGTGTTTCTGGAGGAAGCTCAGGCAGTGGAGGCTCAGGTGGCCAAAGCTCTGGATCCACCTCTGGCAGTGGCAGATGCAGTCCCCATGGT